AGGCAGAAACTCCGAGCCAGCGTGGGGTAATATGTATTTTTATTAATATATACTTAATAGCTGAGGTATTTAGAATTGAGCCTTCTTTATCTTACACCAAAGGATATATGTACGTATTTGTATGTGAACACTTACGCGTACATATATTTATATTTATTCATTTGATTATATATATATATATAAATATATATATATATATATATATATATATATATATTTGTATGTGCGTGCGTGTGTATATGTGTCATCCACACACAGACTGTTTCGCTGTATCACAGCTCATCAGTGTAGCTAGAAATCCGATTGGCTCAATCCAGGATCGATCGAAAGCCAAACGATTTGGCATCAGTCGGAGATTTTCCCCCTGAGCTATCAGCTCCCGGCAGAGAGGAAAGTGAATTTTGACGACTTTTTAGAATAAAATATATACACACACGTCTATATTTCCATATATAGCCCTCTCTTTCTCTCTTTCTCTCTCTCTCTCTCTCTCTATTTATCTATCTATCTATCTATCTATATATATATATATATATATATATATATATATATATATATATATATATATATATATATATGTTCGAATCCAGGTTGAATCCATTACATTCACTTATGTGCTAATACCCTTGGGAAAGGTGTGAATCCTCTTCTTCTCCCTCCATCTATGGGTAAAATAGCAGGACAGACTGGGTTCTATAGCCTTGGATGGCAACTGGTCTAGGAGAAGGACAACTCTGAATTCAAAACCTGCGGAGGGTCGTTTGTCAACCTTGTGGCATGTTGTGCACCAGGTCTCTGTATTCGGCCCTTCAAAAAGTGTGGATGGTCCTGCACGAAACCTTAACCACTATAATCGAATTTCATGTGCAGGTGTCGGGCTGTCGGTTTCCTGGGAACTGATCTGCTTGACCCTCATACGTCGAACCCGACAGGATAATCGATATATATATATATATATATATATATATATATATATATATATATATCTTAAGATGTGTCTTATATTTATATTTATAGGATAAAGTGCTCAATATCAGAGGTAGAGCGTGTGTAAATATAAAAGTGAACATAAAGTCAACACTTAGAGGCGACAGTCTGTTTCATGCATAGCATCAAACAGACTGTCGCCTCTAAATGTTGACTTCTACGTTCACTTTTATATTTATATATATATATATATATATATATATATAGATAGATAGATAGATAGATAGATATATCGCTAACTTTTACTCTCTCTCTTTCTCTTTCTCTCTACACACATGTACATATATATATATATATATATATATATATATATATATATATATACACTTCAGGACTCAATCAGGCATTTTCTATTTCATTAGTGACAAAGCTCTGTTCTTTTTTCCTTCATAAAAGCGGCCGCGCTGAAACGACACCATCACCTTCGTCTCTCCAGATGTTTCCTTGTTTTCAGCCGGAAGCCGGCCTCGGTCTGAAAAGAACGCCAAACGACTTTAGTGTTTCGCAAAGACACTTCGTCTCTTGCGAAACGACATTTCAAATTGACACGTGAATGACACATGGGAAATGAAGGCCGGACCCAATCAACTCGTTCCCTATCTCGCTGACGTCATATTTACGGCTGCGAGCAAATCCTCGCCTGGACAAGTAGATTCTTCAATGAAAGACGTTATTTAAATATGTTTTCCCTTTGTCTCTGTTTCTACCTCTCTCTCACAATATATATATATATATATATATATATATATATAAAATTCTTCCGATAAATATTTTAATTGCTTCACTTCGAGACAAAAAAATCTAGAACTGAATATTACAAAAACGTAGTACTTCTCTGACATAGTTTAGCTTATTCGGAAATAAATCTTCATTTTTAATGTGCCTTGTCCGTTCACTATATCGGCGATCATGGTTCTCCACGGCTTCCTTTACCTTATGTTCTCTGAGCAACATATGATCTTTTACCATCCATATACAATCTATTCACATTATTTTTTAGGTAAATATTCTATGTTTCCATGGTTCCCTAAATGTATCCTAAATGTGGCACAAGGCCGAAAGTATGGAGCACCTAGTGTGGATTGAACTCAATATTCAGTCGTAATTAATCTAGCGAGTCAAGCTTGTTAACCATTACCCTACGTCGAAGTCCCCTTCTGGCCTTTAGTATGTCTGGATATTGTTCCTTCCGATATAGATTTTTCTATATGACGAGAGACTACAGCCGACAGCATGCCCTGTGATTGAGAAACTGGCGGTTTTGAGGAGCGTGGAGCCACCTCTTCCTGACCCGGGGTGGTAGCACCTGTTAGGGCCCCAGCTACTGGCAAATAGTGAACTCCCAAATAAAACAAAACACTACGAAAGTATAAAAATATATATTTTATAGTAAAAATACCCGCAATACATTTTTATATAAACAAATGATCAACGATACATATTTATATTAAATTACCAACAATACATTTTAAAGTGAAATAACAAAAAATACATCTGTAGTTGAAGGCATACAATTCGTACAAAATATATTTAGTTGAAGCTATAAAATTGTACACTATTTACGTTTTTCGGACTATTGTCCTCGTCTTTGCCGACATATTTATTACAACGTTTCGGCCGTTGTACGCTCCGGCCTTCTTCAGGTGGTTGAAATGTCGAAATGAACCCTTTCTATTTCCACGTGTTATGTTTAATGGGTGTCAGTTATCAGTTATCTCCTCTTCAAGTTCTCCACCGCCTTAACCAGGTATTCAACTCACACTATTTGGGTCCTGTCACTGGATCTAACACCTTTATCCACTGTGCCACGTGTCCTTGAAGAAAGCCGGAGCGTACAATGGCCGAAACGTTGTAATAAATATGGCTACAACGATGAGGACAATAGTCCGAATAATTTAGATTTCAGCATTAAATATCCCATAGAGGTTGATATACCGCTAATCAAAATTAACCAACCAATCAATCGTCTATCATGTATTCAACTGTGAAAGCAGAATAACATATATCATAGTTTTATTACTTCAAAGCTCCCAAGAAAATTAAATTTCGGCATTAGATGATACATAAAGAGTTGATTTACGGATTTCGGGTATTGCAACATCAGATCCGTTCTGCCATGTACCGCGACCTCTTAACAGGCCGCCTCTGCGCATAATTCGCTTCACGATGTGATTTTAATAACAGAAAATGTATTAGTAATCAGGAGGTAGATCTTTCTTCTATAATTGCAGCGAGACTTGCATTAGCCAATCAGCATTTGCCTTTCTGCTGTCTAGAGGTATAAGGAAAAAAAGAGCGACAAGCCCGTTCATTCTAGTTTTGCTTCTCCTGCACATGTGCCAATGTTATGGTAAGTTTTTTTTTTCTTTTACATTTACTTGAGGACACGCAAGAAACAAAAAGAAAGTCGTTTCATTCAACGAACGGATTTATTCATTCTTTAATCCACGTGTCATTCCTTATCAGCCAAATCCAGCGGATTCCTTCTTCAGATGCATCTCAGTTTTCTTTCAGTACTTTCTTTTTTGCGGCTTCAACGATTCCAATTTTCGCTAAACTTTTGTTCAGTGAGTATCCCACAGAACGCCTGCACCTCATTTCTATCAGATCAGTGTAAGTTTTCCAACCATTTTGCTAGCACCTTTCGACCAATTCCTGGTATTTCGTACGCTTTCCTTCGTTTGCCAGCCTGATGTTTACTTCCCAAGCAACCTATAATTTCAAAATTATTAACTTATATATATATATATATATATATATATATGTGTGTGTGTGTGTGTGTGTGTTTGTGTGTGTGTGTGAAGAAATATAGTTTTAAGGTGTGCTATACTTATGGGATAAAGTGCTCAATATCAGAGATAGAGCGTGTGTAAATATAAATATAAAAAGTGAACATTGAAGTCAACACTCAGAGACCACAGGCTGTTTCATGTGTGTGTGTGTATGTGTAATATTAGTGGTTTATATATATATATATATATATATATATATATATATATATATATACACATATAAATATATATATATATACACACACACACACACATATATGTTAAGAAATGGACAAGGTCCGATAATTTATTTATTAAAGACATTTTTATGTTTAACGTTGTTATTTATAGATACAAATATTTATAGAAAATTTTCTGTTTAAATGATAAACAGTATTAAATAACATTTAATACTGTTTATCATAAACAGAGAACGAATTTTCTTAAATACTTGTATCTATAAATAAACAAAAACATCAAAATGTCTTTTATATATATATATATATATATATATATATATATATATATATATATATATATATATATATATACACACACACAGGTATAGGACTGGTGTATACGGAATAAATTCCAATAACCCCCCAAAAAATACTATTCTTAAAAGAGTGCTCAATACAGAGTAGGACAAAAGATAATTTATTCGAAAATTATAGCATAAAATGTTATAAAATCACTACAAAACAGCCATCTTGTTTCTTATCAAGTGTTGAACAGCATCACTTGATAAAACACCAGAAGTGTTGAAACAAAATTGCTATTTTTGTAGTGACTTTATAACATACTTATGTTATAATTTTCGAATAGATCATTTATATATATATATAAAATAAATTATATATATATATATATATATATATATATATATGTTTACCAGTTAGGTGATGTCCATCTTTTCAGATTCTGATCAGCCTGTTCACAATTCTCTGTACGATCGGTGTACAGTAACATTAATTGCTTTGACTGTTTTTTTACGGTTTATCAACCTTTTTCAGTTAAATCCTCAAAATATTTTAGATTGTAATACATATTTGTAGAGAAAAATGATTTCGTGACACGGGCCCTACTATTTAACCCATAGCTTGTTGTATAATTGGTGGATTCATACTTTTCCTAAGCGTATTTGTGTGTAAATGAATATAATAAATTCGAACTGGAATTAGAACTCAAGCCTTCGATTTTCAGTTCTTAGTTGTTATCCATTACACCACCCGCACATCCAAGCTTACAGCGACTGGCGCTCCCAAGCGATCACTCATCTAAGTACTGGCCAGTCTTGACGTTTCTTAACTTCGGTGATCGCACGAAAAATGATGTTTCAACGTGATATGGCCGTAAGCCCGCAGTTCTATCATATATTTAAACAAGCTAGTTAGGCAAGTTATTTTTTATTCTCTTCTGACTCACTTGTCGTTATTATGCCTTTTGAGTGTTATATTTTCCAAGCCTTCTTTTTTTATTATCTGTCCAGGTAATTTCATCCAGCTGTTTTCTAATTGTTCTTCCTGTTCACATTTTCCTGAAATCGTCATCGTTATTTAAATGCTATTCACTGCAGCCTCCCTGTGTTATGCTCCACCTTTCGCTGATATGGGACTGATATTACATATTAGTTCAAGAACTCTTCTTTGTTTATAATGAATACTTCCTGCCTCTTAATACTTTGTTCAGCTCTTGGAAAGCATATTTAGCTATTACGTTACGCCGTGGATATAACTCTCACTTTTTTCGTCATAAGCTCCATCAGCATGGCTGATGCTAACCCCCAGTAGGTTAGCATCAGCCATGCACCTTGTCAGACTAACGTTTTATCTGACAGGGAGAGTATATTGAAACAATTGGTAAGTCTTCAGTTAAGAAAGATGGTTCACGAAGTCGTGCTAGACCATTTTTCTCTCCAGAATCTATCTTGTATATTTATAAGTCTACTATTCGTCTTTGCTTTGAATATTGCTGCCACATATGGACTGGTGCTCTTGCTATATATTTAGCGATTCAAAGAAGAATCTGCAATGTTATCGGTCTTGATCTGGCATCTCAGCTTCCGTCATTTTTCCATCGCCGTAACGTAGCTTCCCTGTGCCTATTCTGTAAATACTTTCAGCGTGACTTTTTTGACACTATGACACTTAGACTTTATGAACTTAAGCGCAGTACTAAATTGGCAGAAAGGTCTCAACAATTTACAGTTTAAATGACCAGATGTAAACGTAAGTTCTATGTTAATAGTTTCTCCTATCGCACTTCTTGCTTGAGGATCTCACTTCCGGCTTCTTGCATTTCCGATCTTCCTAATAGTAGGGTTTTTTTTTTTTCATATTCTCTATCAATCTGTAACCTCTTACCTTCTCGTGGCTTTATTGCCTTGCTTGGGGTGAAATGATTAAAAATAAAAATAAAAGAGTTAAACGCTTCTTTTTTTTTAATTTTATTCTTTTATTGTCTCTCTCCTTAACAGTAGTTTTTTTTCTCTCATATTTTCTGTCAATCTGTAACCACTTGCCCCCCCGCCTCGTGACTTTATTGCCTTGCTTGGGGGTGAAATGATTAAAATAAAAAATAAAATAGTCGAACGTTTCTTTTTTCTTAATTCTTATTCTTTTTATTGTCTCCGTCTTTAATAGTAGTTTTTTTTCCTCATATCCTCTATCAATCAGTAGCCTCTTACCCCCCCTCGTGGCTTTATTGCCTTGCTTGGGGTGATATGATTAAAAATTTTTAAAAAATTAAAAGCTAGCAATTATTTCTTCGTGTTCTTGATTTTGACATCTCCAATTTATAGCTGCCATCTTGGAATGCTTCTCTGGCTTAAATTCATACATTCTCTCTTTTGACGATTAGTCCCTTTTCTCCGGCTTTCCTTTACTTCCTTTTCTAGAAATTCCTGAAATTTTCTTTCTGTGTCTGCCGTCATCGCGTTATCATCTTCATATCTTCTATTGTTTGGATTGTATCCACCAATAATATACCCTGGTAGGGCTTCTAGTTCTCCCAGGATCGCCTCGCTGTAAAGTTTTGATCAAAAAACACAATGCTATCCTAGACACCTTGAAAATTTCTTTATTTTCATGTACACGCTAAATAATTTTCTGTCCGCAGGCAGAGGATTTGAACCCAGTATAACTTATGAATTATATCTTTCCCAAGTAAATAAACTTATCCTAAAAGTTTATATAGATACCTGTTTCGTATCTTATCAAAGGCTTTTGTATCGTCTTCACTGCAGAATATGCCTCAACAGTATAGTGCAGATCACCACATGCAAAGGAAGTTGACACTGCCTTAAACGGATCTTGCAGATCAATAACTGGGTGTATGAGGCCAACCAAAGTAAATGACCACTACTTGCTTAGTGGCATTGTTCGCTCTTATATCAGAAGGACAGTTCTCTTCCAACTGGAGAAGTTGAAACAGGAAATTGACCCTCGTCCACCATCTCACGGCTGTGAAATAAAGACAAAGAGGATCAAGTCAAGACACAGATTTCTACATTCAGTTTGAACTACTGATCAACAGGCCACCTAGTTAGCGTCTGTTCCTGTGATTCAATCACCTTAATGTTATGGTCAAGGTTAAGACCAAGGAAGAACAACACGAACACAAGAGTAGAAACAACGAAAGTATATTACACGAAATAATAATACAAGATGTGGAAGGTGTTAGTATGACTGTCAGTCTGGTTTGGAGTGAATAACTATCGGCTTGACACGATTCGTCCCTCTCTCTTGAGAGGCGTAGTATACATAGTGTTAGGAAGTGTTCATTCTGTAGTTATAGGTAAGGACCCATGACACAACAACATGGAACATAAGCTCTCTCTCTCTCTCTCTCTCTCTCTCTCTCTCTCTCTCTCTCTCTCTCTCTCTCTCTCTCTCTCAGCCGTACAGAATTCCCACTTCTCTGGGTCCAGTAAGGCTTAGCCCTTCTGGTCCTGCCCTCGAATAGCTGGTGGTCGCTGTAGAGCCAATCTTCAGAAATGGGGATATTCCACCGATGATGACCCCCCAACTGCCAATTCGCGCAATTACAAACAATTGTGCTTCTTGTTTGCCCAAATCTTGTAGATTCATGTACACTTAATCAGTTAGTTACGTGTCATGCGCGATACACGCTTAGGCGATCATGTATCTTTCGATACATGACTAACGAGGTAGATTATTCCCGCAGTAGGTTGCCATTTCTTTAATTTCCAAGGCTATAGAACCCGGTCTGTCCTACTATTTACCCATAGCTGGGGTGAGAAGAGGATTAATACCTGTTATGGGACCTACCTTTATGGACTAAATGGACTCGTCCTATTACTATATATACAGGGAGATTATACCTCTCAAGAGAGCTGTCTACAGTTTACCTGTTCCAGCTAAGCAGTTGAACTCTCTGCCTTCAGGCGGAGAGGAACCCGGACGAGGCTCCGCCGAAGGGCAGGGTCTCGTTCGGGGAGGTTGACTGCCCCTGAACCCGCATAAACGGAGATCCCACTTTAAACCGCCCTTGTGCCACATGTAACCCTCGTGGGGTGGGTAACTAAACATCGCTGTCTACAGTTGACGCGTTGACTACTGTACTTTGCCGTCAATCGGACGTGCATAACTTTTGTATTCGTTCTTTTTGTTAATAATATATTATCACTAAATTGCTAAGTTCGAGTTTTCTTTGGGACCTATTCTCGGTCCACAACAATATCTTTCCCAAGGATATTAGCACGTAAGTGAATGTAATGGATTCGACTGGAATTCGAACTCAATCCGAGCCGCTATCTATTACTTCACCGTACAGAGTTAATAAAAGGACATTTGTAATGCCGCTGGTAAAAATGTGTAGTAACAAATTAGTGTATTTTATTTTCCACGTCCGCGGGTTCAGTATATAAAAAGATACACAGAAATATAGACTTCGTGAACGCGTCTCGATTGTGTTTAATTATCTCATGTTGCCAGTGGAATTAATATTTGCTAGAGCTATACGGAAAAAAAGTGTTAATAATTAAGACATTAAACATAATAAATAAAGATATCTTAAATTATGAATGGAATTATTCGTGTAGATTAATCAATGTATAACTCGATTCTTAGTATTATTCACTACTGCGGTGTTTGTTTCCTAGACTATTTTCATTCTTTAGAGTCGCCAAAATTCACCACTCCAGTATTGCACACAGAGTGGGTGTTAGGGTTTCAACACGGTGGAGTAATGGCTATCGGCTGAGGAATCGGAGAGCCGAGTTCGAATTCCAGTCGAATATGTTGCATTCATTTACGTGTTAATACCCTTGGGAAAGGTAGGAATCCTCTTCTTCTATGGGTATAATAGCAAGACAGACCAGGTTCTATCATGCAACTGGTCTACCACAGAAAGAAAATATTTGCCTCGTCAGTCATGTATCGAAAGATACATGATCGCCTAAGGGTGTATCACGCATGGTACATAACTGACAGATACACGTCATCAAATACAAAAATAAACAATTCCCAAAATTTGTCTGAAAATGGAACCTGGGGTGCAAGTGCATTGATGCTGACAATTCCGACATTCCAGAAAAGGAAAAAAAAAAGGAAAAAAGCTTCTTTTAAGAGAAAAAAGGTAAACGTTCCCGTCTCAAAGGAGAAAGAAAAAAAATGATATACTGAAGGTCATGAGAGATCTACACGAAGAACATATATTCTATCCGGTCTAAGACATCTGTTGTTACGGTATAGTGTTATATTAGATCATTGCAAAATTTCGTTCCCGAGTATAAAATTGAGAACAAAATTTTATATAATCACGAAACAGCATTTATTAGACCAATTACATAATCGCCATTGTTTTTAACAACTGTCTGTCATTGTTCCACAAACTTGTTGATACAATTTCCGTAGAAACTACGTGTTTTGATGTTTGTAGAACGTTTTGGGGTAGATTTCAACTGACTTTACAGGGTCAAATTGTTTGTCATTTAAATTGTTCTCTCGAGAAGGGACAAATAAAAAATAACGAAAGAAGCCAAATCAGGAGCATACGGTGGGTGCCAAAGCGTTTCCCTGGGTCTCAAGGGCGGATCACGTTGAAACAGCGGTTCTTGTACCATCACCAAAGTTAAGCAATGCCTAGTCTAGACGACCGCTTCGGAATACCAGTTACTGTAAATTTGGATGTAATGGAAAATGGCTCGAATTGAAATTGAGAGCATTTTTTAGCTATTCCAATAAGGATTTGGAATCCGGTATAGAATTTTCCATTCTCTTTTTAAAACACATCGCTAATGCTTTGATTCTGAGATCTTCAGTTCGTTGGCTAGTTGATTTTGTTTAGTGGCATACTAACCTGTATGGGTTATTTTGAACGCAATTGTATGCCTT